CAGACTGCCACTGCACGATTGAATAACGAAGGCCCCCAGCTCCTGAGGAGAGCTGGCCCAAAAGGGCCCAGCAGAGAGCTCTGCTGGCCCTCCTGTCTGACTGACAGGGCCAAGTCCTGCCTTGGTTTGGTGCCTACTGGAGGTGTTGGAATACTCCTGAGGCACGACAAGGCTCCCTGAACTGCCTGACTACCGCTGTTCCTGAGGAAGGGTTTCAGCGAGGTCCAGTCCACTACTTGAGTATTGAACTGAAACTTATTGGCATTCTCCACTTTAGCATTGTCCATAGCTTTGTAGGTACTAAACATGATAGGCGCCATCCAATTGAATGAATCACAAAAATATAGGCAAACCATCCAGTGACTTCCAAAATGCCTTGTCCAATATGGATGACAGCAGTTTCAATGTAATAGAAGGTACCCAAGCAGCAGTACCAGTACAAATGACAATAATCATACCCTGACCATTGGGAAAGTCAGTAAGTTTGAGCAGCACCAGATCACAAATGACAAATGCCATAGTAGACTAGTCATGTCATACCCCTTTCTAGTCTAGGTTTTGAAATGAGCAGGGTCAATTGTTGGTGTTTCCGTTGTTGGCGAAGCTGTGGGGGAGGTAGTGGCATGGGGGCAGTACATTGAGTTGGCTTTGTTTGGTGGGAACTTGGTGTACTTGACCGTTCCCCTACTAGAGCAGAGCAGTTGGTTCCAATACAACTGCAACGCTGCAGGGTACCATGGTACCGGTACCGGTACCGGTGCGATGGCGCCCTCTTAATTCTCTCCTTCCGTGAAAAACTTGAAACCCACGTTGAATTGAATTCTGATTCAATCCCTCCAAAACCCCAAGCAGCGATGTTGGGCGCAGGCTTCACACAGAATTTGCAGAGCTCTTTGTAGCCACCCCATTATCATAGCAAGCCAGTGTCTGTCTACCATGCCCGACATTATCGAAGAGAACGAAGGAGAAGGGAGGAGTGCCATTGAGTTGCGAGCCATAAGAGCTCAGGCTCTGGCTCAAGCAGCACGAGCACGTCGTTCCGCGGCGGCAGCAGCTCGTGATCTTGTGGCAGTCGCCGCAGGGGCCGCCATTGTCAATAACGGGGATAACAACAATAACAATAACAACAACAACAACAATGCCGTACCAGTGGCGGTAGCAGAGAATGAAGCGGCTGCAGCGCCGAATGCCAATGAGAATCCACCTCCTGCCGTGGCTGCGGAATTGGCAGAAGTCGGTCAAATTGCCGGCCACATGGCCCGCTTGACCAACGTGG